AACTAACTTTACAATAACTAGCTTAATTATGGCCAAGATAGTATGAAAGAGTAGGCCCCTTCAGACTCTCTTTGGAAAATAACTTTTCAGGGAAATAGAGGGGTAAGCACCATCGATTGTATAATCACCAACAGTGATATGTATGACCGAGTGGACTGCTTTACTGTTTGCCAGCCTACACCGTTTATCGATCACTCTCCTGTGAAACGCTGGTTCAACATTTCCCCTCCAACGAATAATTCCTTCCCCGAAATGACGGGAATTGAACTGAATAATCTTCCAAAACAATTTCAAAGGAACTCCTTATCCCGGGGGGGTACTCCCATACATTACCTATACGGGTATGTGCCGCCCAACTGGGTCGTGATTTTGAAGTTCCTGATTTAGAACGGGGTATTCATTTCAGAGGCGTTTTCTAGAACGGGGTATAATATTTCGAATGCACGAAAGCTCCAGTTTTGTAAGCAGCCATTTGAAATTATTCAAGGACAAATTGCTTGTAAAAACACTGTTCAATGCGTCAACAAGCAAACGGTTGTACCCTTGTTGCACCCTGTGTTTTAGCGTGCAGGGTGGGCGTATTTTGGCGCGAGCGTATTTCTAGAACGGAGTATCAGTTTTACGGCGAATTCTAGAACGGGGTATCAATTTTACGAGAAATTTTTTTAGAACGGGGTGCCAATTTGGAGTCCCGGGCGGCAGATACCCACCCAAAAAATACCCAAGTGCCCCCCCCCCCCGGGCTCCTTATCCAGTGAGAGATTTATCAACGCACTGAGATCGAAAGACATTCAAGAAATAATCCAAGACTTCGGAACACAGCACTTCAATTCATATGACAAAAAAGTTGTTGACAATGTTGTATCCCGAAATATATTTATATTTTGTATCATAATCTACTTTAAATACAGCTGTAAATAAGGTGATTTGTTTTTATATGGGGTCGCCGTAACTCTTTTTCAAATCGCCCTTATGGTCTTTTTTATCATTGTTATGTCCATCACTTAATTTATTGCCATTAAATTGTAATAAATGTATGTATAAATAAATATGACGATATAATAAAAACTGTGGCCAAAAGCTCTCTTCAAATAGCGGCACGTAATCACGCCTAGTAGATTCAAAAACACATCAAACGAAAGCACGGAAACCCTCATAATACTGACATTAGAGACAACTACCATAACTTGACAAAAAAATAAAAAGCTATACTTAGAACAGAACAACAATGTTATTTCAACGATAAATTAAATCTACTAACTTCATTTTCAAACCCAAAAAGTTTTTGGGATACCCTCAAAACTTTGAAAAAAAACCACAATCCAGAAACCAACTATCCAATTCCCGTTGATAAACTATATGACCATTTTAGTGCCCTTCACTCTAGCACAAAGGGCCAAACCGACTTTGATCGGCCCTAAACTTTAATATCGGAACCACAACTACTCGTGATGCCTCAAAACAAACTTAATGACCCCATGACCTGGCCTATGTAGTATTCATTACATCAGTTGCATCCTCATCATCCATTCTTTTTAAGACCATCCTAAAGTCTGGATATTTCCCGGTCAGTTGGTCAAAAGGAATGATCACTGCAATCTGTAAATCGGGTGACAAATCTGACCCTTCGAACTATCGTGGAATTTTTGTCTGTAGCTCTTTAAGCAAATTGTCTGCTGAATTGTTTTGCCGGCATCCTGGATCAGTCAAAGATTACACAGTTTTATACAAGAATGCCACCTGCTACATCCTTTCCGGATTGGATTTCTCCCAGGATTTCGTACTAGTGATCATATCTTTTCATTTCGCACCACTATTGATAAGAATGTAACTCATACACCTGAAGGTAAACTCTTCCGCTGTTTTATAGACTTAAATAAAGCTTTTGACTCTGTATGGTACCCAGAAACTTTCACATTACGGCACAACGGGTTCTGTGTATAACATCCTCTTAGCTGTGTATTCGATACGAAATGTAGCATAAAATTGGAAACAATATAACTTAACTGATTATTTTACCTATGAAACAGGTGTACAACAAGGATGTGCCCTTTCCCGTCTGCTATTCAATCTATATTTGAATGAAATTCCCAATCTATTAAAAGCGTGCGATTCTAATGACCCAATTATTCTCCCAAATGGTTCCCCATTATGCTGTTTATTCATGCTAATGATATAGTTTTATTCTCAAGCAGTGCTACTGGTCTTTAAACAAGCCTAAACTCTTTCAGCAATACTGAAAAATATGGAAACTCTCCATAAATCCCAAAAAGATAAAAATCATGATATTTGAGAAACGATCACAAATCAACGCTTGAGATATATTCCTTTTTTAATTGATAATGATCCTATTGCAATTTGATAAGACTATTCCTTGCCTATTAAGGAGTTTCCCTTTGTGCTAATGGTAACTTCTCAAATTAAAAACGAATACTGGCTGAAAAATGTAGACTCTGTATTTTGACAACAAAAAATTTTCTTCACTATAAAAATTATCAGTTGATACTTGCAACAAACCTTTTAACTAGCCTGTGATCAGGCTGTCTATTTTGGGATGGGGTGAAAAAATCGCGAGGAGAGGGAAGGAAAAGGGTGAGAGGCTCTCAACGTTTCCCTTCTCTCTCCTCGCGATTTTTTCACCCTTTTCCCAAACAGACAGAGAGACAGCCTGATCACAGGCTACCCTTTAACACACTGTTCAAACCTATGTTATTATATACCTCAGAAGTATGGGGTACGTATGACAAACGGAATTTTGATAAATGGGAGCAGGACCCTGTGGAAAGATTACACTGTCAATGTTATAAATACTTTTTTGGATTAAACAAAAGGGCTTCCAATGTTGTCGCTTGAAACGACAAACCCACAATTTACTTGAATATTCTCAAGTTTCGGCAACATTTAGAAGAACTACCCGAGAATAGCATTGCGGAGCAGTGCCTCATCATATCAAAATAATTAGCAATTCCCTCTTCCGTATACCAAATATGCTCACAGTTTTGCAAAGAAGGAAAAAACACAACAGGACTTGATGATATTCAACAAATAAATAAATTAGAGATATCTAAATTAACAAAAAAATATTCTTAAAATAGCTAAAACACGACAATCCTCTCTCATTCAACTGAATAAAAAACTAAACAAGACAACAAGAAATCTCTTTACTTAGACCTTATAAAAAACACAAATCACTCCTACGCACAGCAGCAAAACTAGAACAAGCACTCATAAATTAATGATAGCCGATACGGGAGATACTGCACGCCCAAAATCCCTGAACATCTCAGATTGTGTCAATACTGTTGTATGAAGTAATGAAATAGAAGGCGAGCAACACTTCATGCTAAACTGCCCTCTTTACCTTAATGAAGACAATATACCACTCATTGAGTGCAAACGATATGATACTTTTTCTCTTCAGTAATGTAGATCACTTCATCTGCGAGAAACTAGGCCATTTTATTTTTCTGGCCTTCGTAAAACGTGAACTAAATAAAACATTAAACATAGCTGCAAAATATGTTAGAATTTTCCGTGTAATTAAAGCCATTACAGGAGCCGCCATTATTATTATTTACAATAATAAAATGTTATTTCCCTTTTCCCCGGGGCTTTACTTTAACGTAATCAATATTGTATTGATTATGTTATAATTGATAGCAATGCCATCTGCTCATGTAAATGCCAATAAAGAAAATGTTGTTGTTGTTGTTGTTGTTGTTGTTATATGACTCAAGCGCAAAGTACCCATCCTCTCCGTGGCCATCATGTCAGGGGCATGGGCACCCACAGTCTCCTTCTCCCCCCCCCCCCGTGGCCCGTGGGGGTGGGGAGCCTGCGTGACTCCGCCCCAAGCGACTGCGAAGGAGACTGGGGCACCCAACGACTTCTCTCTGTCTGTTCTAAGGAAGAAATAGCGCTTAGAAATTCCTAAGGCGCCAAAAGTCTAAATATTTCTGAAACCCTTTCCACTCGTCTGGGTTTCTTCTTCTAACTTACGTTAACGGATTTTCGAAGGTTCTGTGTTTTTCACAATTTATCAACAATGGGATATTGCAGCGATCATTAATTGCTGACAAAGGTCTTCACTGGTCTACTAAAAAGTCTCAAAAAAAAGACCAAGCGTTCCCTAGAAGTTCCAAATGAAGTACTGCCCTCGAACTTTCGACCGGACCCATCAGGGTAAAGCTAACAGTTTCGGGTGAGGGATAGACGGAGGAGATGTCCACCCTTGGCGCAAAATGTTAGCGTTTTGTTCACACCTTGAGTGCCCTGAGTACCCTACACGTAGCCTGCGTAGCTGGCGGGATTGTTATGCCTGGGGCGGAGCCGCCAAGCGACGCGAGCAGCGTTTCCAATCTTAACGTGGCACCGCCGCTAAAAACCTACAGCACTCGCCTGATAAGTCCTGCCAGCTACACGGGCTACCCTATATGAAGGCTCAGTCTACATAGTTGCACTCTTTTGCCCCGTCAGATGCTATTTTTAAAACAGTGTGCAAAAAGGGACAATGCCCCAGTACAAGGTCTCGCCCGAATTCTGGCGTGGTTACTTGAAAAAAGCGTGTGTTCGCATTTGTCCTCGTCGAGTAACGTACTCAGGCACCATGCCCAGGCGTCAAGTGTAAACCCTGCCTAAGACATCCGAACAGATAAAATAGTAATAATAATCAGGGCAGAAAAAAAATCTTTTAGGCTCTCGTTCCATTTTTCGCGAGGCCAAAACCGAAAATCCGGTTCCTCGTCGTCCCTTGGTCATTCTTTGCTTCAAAACCACACCCAAACGCTTGCTACGCAGGCTTAAGTTCAAAAGATTGAAAGATTCCATGCGCGCGCTTTTATATATTTCCATTTATGCGTCAGCAGCACGATTATTTACCATTGATACGTTTATTTACTTTATACATATTCACGGTAGAATAAACACCAAGATCATAATACACAATAATAACATAAAGAAATTTAGAGTGAAGGTGGCATAAAGTGATTCCAGTTTGTAATATGGCAACCAAGGATCATCATATTTTGAACGTTCAAGAGGACATCAGTAAGAAGGCCACCACTTTGTCTGGGTTGAAGGTAGTTGAAAGTGAAAGTGATTTGCGTCGAAAGAGTCTTCCATCCATCGCCCCGCTGAATTTCGAGGTCGGCAGTGCAATGGAAGCTCCACGCAGCTGCAGCGCAAATGATGCTTATTCACACGATGATACACCTCATATGGCGTGCCTGCTGCCCAGTATAGAAACCAAAGCTGCTTTTGAGGACAATTCACCTTTGCTTCCGAGTCAAGCAGACGTTAAAGCGAAAAGGTTAGCAAAAAAGGATTTTTCACTCTTGCATAACATCAGTCTCCGCGACACATACGTTAGGTCTCAACGCTGTCACCCATTTTCTGCCTGTTTTTCTTATCCTCTTTAGATCTTTTAGCCTCCAGGACTATCTAGCACTCACCTTATGTTTCTTTAAAATATCACCGCTGAATCATCATCAACAACAACAACAACATTTATATATTATTTATAGTGCGCCCTTTCTTTATAATTATCAAAAGCGTATAACTGAGGTCACGGGCAGCTGTAAAAACAACTTGGTATTTTAGTTCGGCTGGCCTGCGGAAGACTTTGAATGTCAGTCTGTTGCTCGCTTTGAATAAATCCAGTCTAAACTGCAACCTTTTATTTCTCAGTTTCTAAGAAATACCATGCTTGCAGGCACTCCTCTCTCATCTCTCATTCTTTCGTCCTTGTTTACACTGCCATTTATTATTCCCCATGTGATTTTACATGATGCTGAAAACTGCTGCACTCTTTTTCGATAGTGGAGATGAATTCAAGGCCAGTCAACGCGACACTTGTTGCATGATGCATGCTACAGAAGATCTAGGTTTTATAGCAACAGCCAGTGCTGAGAAGGTAAGCCAAACCTAACAGAAATACGCATGTTAACGTCAGACTTTTATCGACCTCGTGATGATTTTTTTGTGTTTTGAAGCGCTTGTTAGCCCATATAATGCACATTTATCTTTCCAACTAAGGATATCTTCGAAGACGGCCAAACCGAGGACACAGGAACACTTGATGGACCAGTACCAGATGTACTTTTCGCGCCAAGAGGACCCTCCACTGAAAAAGTGCAATTTAGGAGTAAGAGGAAATCTCTAGCTCCTTCTGAAGTTAAAAGGTACTTTTTATGGTTACCTTGTTTTTCTTGGACAAAAAACTAAAACTTTGATTGTAAAGTTCGTTTATTCTTTAAACAGCTTTTCAAATTGGACGGTGAACTAAGATAAATTAAAAAAGCAATCTATCCCCCTTTTGGCTTTATGGAGGAGAGTACTAGGCCAAATTCAAAGTCATCCTTTGTTATATTAGTCTCCCTCGCAGCCGTTTTTTGGATGTCACGCAACGCTCTCCCTCTTTTAGGGGAGCGTTATCAGTCTCTTCTTTAATATTATTTGTGATGGCAGAGAAGCCGGGAGCTGGGACTGTTCAAAGACAGCATGAGTAAACGATAAAGTATAAATAGCTAATATAATCCCAACAAGCCAAAGAGGTTTCCAGTAATTGCACCACATGTTCTAGATAGTAATTAAAAATGTTTTGGTAGTAGAACTAGTAGTCCAGCCGGGCACAATGTGATGATAAATAAAATGATTTGAGCCCCTCTGTATACAGTCTATATAATAAATGATTTAGTTACCTAGGGGATATTTTACCCTCCGACACAATGAATCATTATCGGAGGCTAAATTTGCACGTGTGCAGCTGTGACTAAAAGTCCTAAAACTCGAATCCTCATACTGTTACCTTCAGCAGCCGCACCCAAATCTGCCCACGCAAAACTAAGATCACTGTCATTTTTAACGCCCAAAGACATAGTGGACGCCACGTGTTGCCAAATTTACCCTTCTGCAAGGGACTTGAATCGTACCCTAGTGTTTTAGTTGACAAATGAAATAAATATCAACAAAAAAAGATAGCAAATTGTAGACAAAAATGATGTGAGTTTTTCGTTATTTTGGATGGTCTAGTCCGTCCCAGTAAAAGCTTAAAATCGTAATGAGAGTTAGCTAATATGCCACAATATCGTGAATTTTTTTTTAACAGAGTTTCTTCAATCTCATAGCATAGACAATGAAGAAGCCACAGTGTTGAGGTCCCAGTCACCCTGCGGCGAGTCGAATGATAGAGAACAAGAAACGGAGGAGCAGAATGAAATGGGAGATGAGATGGCAAAAGAAAATAATGAAGAAACCAACCAAAACCAACACTCCGGTCAAGAAAGAATGAACAACAAAGACAGCATTTCAAGAAATGATACCAAATTCAGTAGGCCTTTCGAGGTAGGAGCATAGTTTGCCAGACCCCACCGGAGAAGCGGTCAATGACCAACCTCGTCCCCAGGGCTTTTCCGCTTAAAAAATATCCCGCCCCACCCATTTTTTAAGGGAAAAGCCCTGGGGACGAGGTTGGTCAATGACGGGAAGTCAGTTTCCTAACCATCCGAAAATAGTTTAGCAAACGGTTACGCAGTTTTGAAGTAAGACATTCTTTCCGATTTGAAAAATCTCTGCTCACTTGGCTAACCAGTTAGAAAGGAATCCAGAGCTATGTATAACCAACTCGGCCTGTTGTTATGGAGCATGATCCTCCAAAACTGTTAGATGATTGAACAGCCATCCAACATGCTGCAATGTGGTGTAATGTTAGAAGTGAACAACATGACAGAATGATGCGATGCGTCCAAAACTGCTTAAGTGCCGTGGTCACTGATGTCATTCGTTTTCTTACCAGCCAAGTGCCGTTTCTTTTTCCACAACAGTTAGCTTTAGCTTTTGTTGTTTAATCAGTTGTGTCACTCTATACCGGGTGAATCATAAACAAGTTAATTCATAGAAGTTGTTGGAAGTTTAATTGATTATTGGAGTCATTTTTCCTCAGGCGCTGTCTGATACGATGCAGCCACTTGCCCCTCTCCCTTTCGTACAAGCAGGCACTAGTCGGCGAAGATCGTCAACAGCTTCCTCGCAGCATTTTCCTGCTAGCCCACCCTCAGCCTTCATGGGTGTCCCTCGATCAAGGCGAGTGTCTAGCGTGGGTTCATCAATTTTCTCCACCCCTTCAACCTCAGCACAACCAGACACGTTACAAGCCTTGCAAGAAACTTCAAAGAGGCTACCAAACGAGTCCTCACAGGGAACGTCTGGCGTGCCCGAATCAAGGCGAGGCTCGCAAGCCAGACGAAGGTCCTCAGTGGCAGCTTCTATGTTGTCCTCCGACACACGCGACGGTAAAAAGGGATCCATTGGCTTTACTCTTGCTGCTTCTTTAGTTAAATGGAAAAAGAATTCCTTGAGAGAAACTAGGAAGGCTAACGAGACCATTGCTAAGGTGAATTTTAGTGATGAAACTTGAATTAATTTGTAACAGAACCCTTTCAAAACTACTTACAATAGATCTACAGATGAATCTTCATCATATTGAACTTAAATCAATTTCCCATGTTGAAAACAGCCGTTACAGAGCTGGGTAGTGACGCGTCATCAGTATGGAATTTCTGTGCCCATTTCTCAGACTTCATTTCGAGGGGAAAACCGTAGCGGCGTTGCCAAGTAACGACTCTTTTCTCAGGCGTGTAGAATATGTTGAGGTTAAGGGACTGCTGCTCTGAATTTAAATCTCTGGCAAGAGACTTTTTGCAAATCGGGATCAAGTCCGCCTACGCATTATTCTCCAGAGTCGCAATAGTGAACAGCTACTGGCCAAAGAATGTTTTTTTTTTTACTCTTCTGTTGTAGAGCCTGCGCAAATATCACCAAGGAAGAAAGCTTCCTTATGGAGACAAAAGAACTTTTAAAAGTTTTCTACCCTTTAAGTTACTGCTTAGTTCTATATACAGGCGAGGCACGAGTTTCCGCAGAAGGTCGTTTTTCATTCCCCTGGGATTTGACTAACCCCAATCTAATTCCGAGTCGGTGCATAACCTAATCAACTTATAGAAGACATCAAATACTGTAGCAACTATACAGACACTATAAAGACCCCATACCGTCCTATATTGTTATATATTGTTATATGCTATAACATGTACTAATATTAATGCTATATAACTATAAACTACGTTCAATATATACTCATCGCATTGTACTGTGTTGCATCCTAAATACACGCATGTCATGTAGACTATGATAAGTAGCGTGCTGTATATATCAAATAATGTATTCATATGCTGATAACCAGTGTTATCATTCCACTCGATACATCTTTTCAGTGTCAGATGCTACTGACCACCGTTGTCATTTTTTAGTTTTCATTATTTTCTCTATCCAGGACGCTAAACACCAAGAATTCATGAACAAAACTGCTGATCGCATCAAAACCGAGGTGAGTCCAGCTCACACTTTAACAATCCTGAAAACGTATAAAATAGAAAACATTCTTATGTCGATTTTCATCTGGAAAAATTATTTTATAGCTTGACATTTTTTTCATTATCTTTTCTTGTTCCCTTTTTAAATTTTTGTTCCATGGAAAACGTGCATGCATTTCAGATTAAACAACTCCAAATGAATGTATGTCGTCTCCGCAGCTCAATAGTTAATATTTATTTTAAAGGGGAAAAATATTTTCTAAAGAACTGGGTCATTCTACCATTCTGTTGTTAGCTTCCAAAACAGTTACTGGTCTCTATACAAGAGGAAGCTTACCCGATTATACTACGAACAGCACAAGGTAGGCACGTGACTACTTCACTTAGGATCATTTCAAAAGGTTGAGTTTGATCGTCCGGGTGAACGTAGTCCTGAATAGGACTGTTGTTGTTGACAGTGACTGACGTTTCGACAACCTGTGCGGAAGTCATCTTCAGAGTCAAAGTGAGTTGTATCACGTCAGTTGATGGTATTATACTCTGGTTATTGATCTGATTGGTCAATTATGTCGCGATGTTATTGGTCGTCTGTCAGTTAAGCCGTGATGTTATTGGCTACGAAGACTCGTAATCAGTGATTGGTGCGTTTCGATCCGTCTTGTCACAGTTAAACAGTCCTCTATTGTTAGTCAAATTGTCAGTTCTCCAGTTGTTCTCTCGTAGTTAGTTTTGCTTAGGATCATTTGTAATAAATTATTATATTATTAGTGCTATAACACTCCAACCTCGTTCCCAGGGTTCTCTCCTACCCGCCCTACGGCGCACCAGTGCCGTCACCATGAATGCGACCCTTGCTCTCTCTCTCCGTAGGGTGGGTAGGAGAAAACCCTGGGAACGAGGTTGGTAACGTTCTGCTTTAAAAGTCGCTGTTTAAAAACCACTTGAATCAAATGACAGAGACATAACAGATATTTCAATATTTTGCGCCATCTGGAGTAGTTTGTTTAATCAAGTCTGAAAAAGTCTTTTCTTTTTCTAGCTTACCGATCTCAGTTGGGAGTCAAACACAAACTCACGATGCAAGCTTATGATCGGCTGGCAGACCTTGTCCGAGATCTCAAGAATCCCTTTTGAATTGAATTGCAAATGTAGATAGAACTATAATTTTGACTTCAGGGAGTCTAAAAGAATATATGTAAATAAAAATGTTGGGAAATGGTATTGTTTATGTTGATTAACCTCAAAGTGACGTTTGCGGACTAGCGCTCAACACGAAGGAGGCGGGGGTTAGCTTCATAGTTTTTGGGTTCTCTATTGTGAAATGAAAGCAGCTAGGAACAAAAGGCAGGTTTATCAGCTACCAATATATCAGCAAACAATATGAACGGCGATGGTGTAAAACCTACGAGGAATATGTTGTTTTCTTTATCTTTTTTATTTGTTCTCATCGACCTAGCAGACCTAGGAATCTAATAGTAGTGTTTCCCAACCTGTTCTGGATAATGAATGGTATGGAGACAAGACAAATTTAAAGATCATTTACAGTTGACGTCTCGCATGAGAACTCTTGTCCCGTTCGTGCTATTCTGCTATTCTACTCGTCTTTCTCGTTTTCTCGTGTATTGGCTCTTGGCTTATTGCATTCTTTTTAAATAGTAGAACATCTGAGTGAGCGAAATCGAAATGACACACTTAGAGCAAGTAAGTGACCCTCTCAATCAGATCCTGACATTGATTAAATAGTTCAATCGGAGGGGGCCGTTGAAATAAAATAGAACCAAGATTTATAGTAAGATTGGTATCCAAATTGTGGGTTCCAAGAAAAAGAGTAGGAATGAGGCCACTTACTGAAAATACTGAATAACAACTGATTTGGCTTTAATCAAGGCGGATCCAGGGGAGGGGCCTGGGCGGTCCAACCCCCCTTATTTTTAGACCAAACTAAGAATTTCTTGGAGACCGCGCCCCTCCCCTTTCTAAGGGTCAGGCAGCACTACCTTTGTTCCAAAGTCTCCCTTTCCCTTCCTTCTTCCCGTCCATCAAAACCCTGACAATGATGTATTAAACTTCACGTTATCACTAGTACAGCCATTTTTATTTACAACACTAATAGAACTATTTACACAGCAAGAATGAACTAACAATATATTTTCTCCTAAAATGACACTACTATATTTTGAATGCTATCTACTTCAAGCTCTTACAATGCCTATAAACTCTTTAAAGTAATTCCAGGCCACTCATCAAATTTAATACCGAGTCCGATTAAAAAGTATTGAGCAAACTCAGTATGGTTGATATCTATACAAGGCACGGCTGTACGGTAGTCTTGCGGGCCCAAAAGGTCTGATTGTGAACTGATCAAGGTGGAACTTGGGTACACGGTTTGACTCGACTGAGAGTTGACGATTGGCAACTGTTCTCTGACTATCTCTTAAGTAGCTTTCCATCGCTGGACAAGACACTCGTTCGCCTTGTTTCCAGTGATCTGAATAGGCTCGGCTATTAAACTGGTTTGACAGGCTGGACTGACAGACAGATGAAATCTTTTTCTCCAGTTTCCTTGATTTGGCCCGTCGGTTTTGAAACCAATACTGCAAGAAAGAGAACAAAAATCTGACTTATTAACCCTTTCACTGCCAAATGTGGCCAAAGGCAAATTTCGACCAAATTTCCAAATTTCGTTTTCTAAACTTTTGACAAACAAATAGTACCATGTGTAAGTACAGGCAGAGAGCTTTCATTTGAATGGTCACATCATAGGATTTGGTCCACAGACTCAAAAGTTAGAGTCGCCTTACAAAACTCCATCAAGTACTGTAGCCTGATCTGGCAGTGAAAGGGTTAACTAAATTCGGGCAATATCAGAGAAAATCTATACAACACACTGAACCTATAAAGATTTTTCTCTGACTGCAAAACGGCATTCAAATTGCCTTGTGAATTGTACAATTACATGTAATAGAAACTTCACATCATTTGAAGAAAATACCATGACTACACACGTTTCGAAGATTGCTAAAAAAAATAGATGATTTAGGAAAAGAGTGATGACACGTCATCTTCCAAAGTTACACTTCACACATGTTAAACTAACATGCATGAAGTGTAACTTTGCAAGATGGCGTGTAATTACTGTTCGATAAAAGCGAGTACTCAAAAACATTTTCTAACTGGAGTGAAAAATCACTCTGCAATTGCCGAGTTTCGAATCGGTAATCATAGTTTACTTTACAACTCACTTTCCGACAAAACTGAAAATGATTAGAACAAATTCAAAACCCAGGCAACTGAAATTCCATTCCTCTAAGGTTACACATGCTCATGTTTCTTTTAATTTACTTTAATGTAGGAAACTCACCTTCAGGCTTTTAGCCGTGATTCCGAGTCTTTGTACCAGTTCTTCTGCGTCTTCTTTTAGCAAATATGGCCGCCGTCTGAATGCTCGTTCCAGCTCCAAAACTTCCATCGGTGAGAAGGTCGTGCGTTGTCGCTTCTTCTTCGTTGAATGTTCGGTTGGAGTCGAAGCTTGATCGGGCTCGCTGTCACAATCGCTGCTGGAACTTGTAATGTCCGAGTAAGGTGTTAACGGTGGACTAGGTACCATGTGGCTGGGACGAGGACTTGTGCAGTCGGAGTAAGGCGATAAAGGCGGACTGGTAGGACTGTTACATTCTGTAAAAGAAAAATAAACATTTAGTTTCAAACGTGTTCTATAATCAACTTTTTATTACTTAGGTACAAGACAGAATGAACTAGTTAGATTGTGTTAAGTATTTGTAGTGGTGGCGGAAAATTTGTAGTTCCTTTAGTTCAAGGTTAGTACATGGAAATAAACACTAACAACAAGCATGACTACAACAACCGAAAACGGAGATTCGATTAATAAAGTAAAGTTTATATTTAACTGTCAGTGGAAAAAGCCTGATGCAATGACTGCATAAACAAATAATGTCAGAGTTACTTTAACCTTACCAGAGCTTAAAGAAGATTTAGTGACGACACTTTCTAGACCCAAGATACTGCAGACGGAGAAGTCCGTCGGGGAAGTGTTGCGAATACGGGACCTTCTGTCTTGCGCAGAGCGCACTAGCGAATCCACAAGTGAAATAACGGATTTCATTTGATGACAATCCATTTCAAAAAGATTTGATTAGCTGGATCAGATACTAACAAACTGAATGAGAGTCTAGTTGAACCGAAACCACATTTATACGTCGTAGGTACTCTGACATCTGTTAATCAACAAACAACAAAGCTTGCGGCCCGACAAACAAACCGTTTGTTGACCCCCCGGTTTGCCGATTTCCATGCTAGGACAGTATGAATTAAACTGCGCGCGCCGACGGTTCTTTTTTTAAATGGCATGAACTGTGTTAAAAGACGTCTGCCGCGTTAAACTAGATGATAATCATAATATAAGAATAAAGGATTTTTCAAAACTGACATGCGACGTTTTTCAAAAACAATTGTCAACAGATTAATTACCTTATATGAGAGGGCATAGCAAGTGATTCTCGTTAAACGCTCAATTCGCGCACTGTAAAGACATTCAATTGTAATTGTGCTGCGACCCGCGAAATCCTTCGTTCTTCGTTACATCTTCCAGAAATTAAAGTTGTCGTCTATAATAAACAAGCGACACAAAGTATGTTGATAGCATAAATTAAAAGTTAGGCCGGATACTCAACTTCTAATTTTTACCGAGAAGGAAAAGTTCAAATTGTACACTGAAGTTGCGTCTTTTACGGCGGGATTGCTTAACTGAGACCTCCTAGGATGTCCAAGAACAGCTGAGAACTGGACAAAAAGATTTACCTGCTATACTCTCTTTCCTCCTTTGCGATACTGTAGGTTGATAATTATCCGATCGGTTAAACAAACAATTTTGCAAGTTGCGCCCTAAACCTCTCCTTAATAATTGCACTCATCTCTCACGGACTAAAGGCGCTCTCATGGAGCAGCAATGAAGTCGCATTGGTTAAATCCTATTGTGCGGCACTTTTAACAATAATAATAATAATAATAATGATAATAATAATAACTAGCAGTAATCCTAGATTATAGTGCGTCGCCTTGGTTCAACCGCGAAGGTAAGTCTGGTACAACAACATTTGTTTGGCGCAATGGCCACCGAGCACATTGACTCGGTTTATTTGCTTTGTGACTGCAATGGGTCAGAGTGCGAGTGCAATGACTCCGTTTAACTGGTACGTGCGTGAATGGGTCATTGTCCTCAATGGCCAGCGAGTACAGCAACTCGTTTCATTTAAAAGGCTGATTTCATTTGACTGAGTACGAGAAATCGTTACTTTTGATTGAGTAAAATGACTCGTTTCACTTCTTTTGTGCCAAGTACGGCTCATTTCATTTGATTGAGTAGTTTCATTTTTAAGATTTGTGCCAGCAGCAATATGATAGAATATGCGCGGTTTGTACATCAGGCCTCGCAAAAGCTCCAGGAATAGTTAGTACTCAGTCCCCGATCAGTCTTTGATGTATGCCTTGAATTTTTGTAGAATTCACGAATAAGCAAAAAAGATCCCTAACTACGAAACCACGTGGAGGCAAAGATCCAAAGGTTGCGAAACGCGGTGGGAACGGGAACGCAATAAGAATGATGGATACTATTATGACGCAAACATACTATTGTGATGTTTCAAAATGGCGCATGGCACGCACGGCATGCTGGATGCTATTGTGACCTTTTCAGATGGCGCAGATTTGGACCCGACACACCGGCAACCTCTTTTCTCGATTTCTTGCGCTTGAAACATGCACAAGCTACCCAGGAAACACACAGAACAGCCAAAGACTCAATTAGGAAGCGTCTCCTTCGTCGACGCAATAATAATAATGATGACTTTATTTTAGTGTCAATGTATTTAGCTTAACAGCCTGAGTTAGCTAATTCGGGACACTTTCCTTCCTTCCCGACACACTACTCTATTAGATGACTTTTACCTAAACCTAAAACTATTAATTAAGTAATTTTTTTCCCATTTGCCGATTGTTACCTTTCTTGTCTTTCTTGTGCATTTGTCGCCTTTAAGTTTGTGGCAGCTTGCTTAACGTGGACGTCACTTGTGTAAATCTAGTCAACTGACTCGAAGGATTTAGCACGCGTTTTTTTTTTGCAATAACCAAACATCACAGAAATGTCATTCATTCTCTTCGGCTTTAAGAGACGCGTCTTAAGATACCGCTTTGCTTTCATCAATCCCCGGGGGGGCAGTTGGGTGTTTTTTGGGTTGGTATGTGCCGCCCGGGACTCCAAATTGGCACCCCGTTCTAAAAAAAAATTCCCCTAAAATCCCAGTCAAGGGAGGATAATCTTCTCTTGTCCCAGTACAGTATCTTGCCCAGTATCCAGATGGTACCAGTATCTAGCCAATTAAAACTTAAAAACTTAAATTTTTGAGGCACCCTTTTGGGAAACGAAGGATTTTGAATTAAAGCTGAACATTTCAGCTTTAAGATGAAAGTTTTGGCGAGTTTACAGCTTGCGAACAATTGCAGAAAGCGCCGTTCTGTTCAGGTGAGTAAACTTTTCAGGGGCAGCCAACTTCAATTTTTGGAAAATATCTGTTCGGAAGACGATTTGAGCTCTAAAATTTTCGGAACATTTGTTGTAAAATTTCTTGCTTGCCTCTCTCCTAGGATTTTCGAACATCTAAAAAATGGTATAATTATAAAAGGTCACCTAGAATTTTCGGGAGCCTTTTTTCTGGCTGAAATTTTTGAAAAGGTAAGTTTTGACCCCTTTACAGTTTTCGCATCACTAGACTTTCAGCTAGGAAATCCAAACAGATGAGAAATTTTTAGGAGATAAAAATATGCCTATATCTACCGTTTAAATACTAGAATACGTTCACCAATACTATGTTTAAGTGATTTTGAACTTTATTCTCGTTGGGTGCCCCTGACTTTTCGGGGCTAATATTTACGCTGTTTACTGCACAGCAAGGCTAGTGCTGTTCAAAAAAGGGTTGGTAATATGTGATATTTTCAGAGAAACTGTTTTATATTTAAAGTGAAGATACTTAAAGTAGTCAGGTTCTCAGAAAATGTATTTATTCTTCTTGAAATTCCATTTCTTTTGGAATAAGGGAGGCCAGAAACATTCACTAAGTATTGATCAGTGCCCAGTATCAGGCCAGTTTTTCCTTTGCTGTGTTCATTATCCAGATAAGATTTATTTCATATCTATAACTATAATTAAAGCTTAGGGTATATGATAGAGTAGTAAAATGTAATTCTTCTCAACTCCGTATGGAAATTTTTTTCACTCATTCAGAGGCGACTTGATTTCGTGTGGACGGCTTGTTTCCCGTGACTGCATTGTAACTTCTACATATAACCGGAAGCGTCGGAGGTGAACCGTGAATTCTCATACTTTCCCCAGTTGTGATTCCTAGAATGGGGTTGCAACGGTCTGGAATATGTCTCAAAGGGATTGAGAGATGTGAAAGAAGGAGGAATTAGTGCTAGAAAAGCGGTCAACTGATATGGGGACTGAGCATGAAAAAGTCAACACTGCAGGTCAGACTAAGTGGGAGAGTGACCTTTGACCGTCGGATTGAGGTCCCTTCGCCAGTTTTTTTTTTTTTTTTAGTAAACGGCTAAAGCAAGCAGAATATAATTGATACATAATTCAAATCGCGAAGCAAGGTAACGATATTTCGAAATCCTTAATTATTTTCAGGCTTCGGATCCAAATCGAGAGGAAACAAAGGTACGGAAGGGTGAAAACGAACCGGTAACATTTACATTTGCAGCTTCTGCTCGTTTATATTGCCGCCTAACAAAGTGGATGCTACGGTTACGGTTTGATTGACGTCACAGAAAAATTTGAATTTGGAGCATGCTCAATATGAATTGTCGAGGATGTCGGCAGAGGTTCCTTCCTCTTTCCGACCTAGGAAGATCGAAGGAGACTCTGTTTGCAGGGTACTGGGCAAAAAGCGACTGAGTTTGATCAGATTGAGCTTGTTAACGAGCCCTCAAGCTACACCTTGAGCTTACAACTTGAAGTCCATTTTATGAGCTGCTGGTTACTTTTTAAACTGCCTAAGGGACCGATCTATGATTTCTTTTAAGGATCATTCCCTCACACGTTTTGGGGTGTGGTACCAGAGAGTTCTGTTTGTACCAGAGGGCGAATTCTTCTAGAGCTTTGTTCAGCGTCGTTGTGACCTGGTCCACAAGAGGGGTGTCTACAAAACGAAGACCGTCAAGAACGAAGACCTAAAAATGATGACCGCGGCTTGCCCATAACAGGCAGGGACTTCGTTTTGTAGAAAAAGCCGGGTCAAACTATACAAAACGAAGACCCTTAACTAAAACGTTTTGTACGGCTCCGAAATAATTACGATATCGCACGTCATGCTTTGCCAGGCCCCTAAATATATGTTCTTACTAAGGTCTTCGTTCTGTAGGAAAATAAAACTAAGACCTTTTTAAATAAATCATGCAGCTAACAGCTCTGGATTTTGACTTGAAATTTTTAAAGTCGCATAGCATGTGAGCTCGACCGGAATGTAATTCTCGAACATTGTTTACAAAGTTTTCATATCCATCGCAACTGTCAACTAATCAACTTTTTATTATTACGTCTTTGAGGTAAACAAAGGCATAGCCTGCGTAGCAAGCGTTTCCAATCGAGTTATTGCGCGAAAGTTAGAGCGGAAGCAAAAAAAAGGTTGAAGGGGGAGGGGGAGGGGAGAAGAGGAAACGCTTGCCCGCAAACCCCACGATTCTGGAAAACGCCCCTTGATATTTCACGGTTCGGTTCATTTGTAAATTGACAGCTCGTCAAAATAGAAACATAACGAACAGATTACCCCTGGATTACCAGATTTGTAAAATTACTTTGTTGTCTAATAGAACACGTTGCAGGCGATTGCAAGAACTGTAATAAAAAAGATTTACGATAAAAGAAAGTTAAAACTATGAGCGATTGCTGCAGAATTTCTTGTTTTTTATTGTGTGGCTTTATCTCGTCTGAAACCTTGTCGACACGTCAAAAATGATTTGTCCGGAACAATTCACTCCGCCGGGTATAAGTTTTGCAGAGCGGCTGGTCTTCAGCCTGTGTCGAAACGTTCTCTACAATAGATGCCGCTAAATTACCAATAAACAAAAAGAATCTTTTCATTTCAAAAAGCTGACAAATCGCTTGTCCATGGCGGCTTTAGCTAGTGTCGAGTACCGATGTTATGATTTATGTTAATGTTATCTCCAACAAACAGTCCATTTTTGCCAGTCAGATCTGCACGCCGTCATTCTCAATAAATTGGCCTTCCCTAGTCTCCACTGCTGGATCTCCATTATACTTTGACGACTCTGATCTCATAAACCTTCGCACAAACACGATTCCAATAAATATCAGTCCAAAGCATTTGTAATCTGCGACCACAAATCAGATGAGACCAGATCTGTGACGCACGAAAACAAAGCATACCTGGTTTGATTGGTGTTTCGAATGCTAAGTAATCAACACCACCCGAACCGCGCCAATCAGAAGCTGCGTTCGTGGGCGAACGCAGTTTTTCAAAATCGTGGGGTTTGCGGGCAAGCGGTTACTTCGTTCCCCTCCCCCTCCCCCGTCATTCATGTTTTTTTGCTCTTGTCCCAGTTTTCTAGACGAACCTCGCGAGGAAACGCTTGCTACGCAGGCTAACAAAGGCATAACTACTACTACTATAACGAAGTTATGGTTACAGCTAGTTCGCAAAAATTCCATAAATCGCTTCAGTGTCGATTGCCTTCATTTCACTCTAAATCAGTTTAAAATAGGAAAATGTCTGCGCCGGCTTTTAGGAAGCTATGTCACGACACTGCGCATGCGCGTCAGCAACGATTCAACTTGAAAAGCTTGACTTTTTGAAGTTTCGCGAGACGAACTCTGTAGCGATTTCATGGCCGTGAATCTTAGCCATCCGAGAGTACTTTTCGCTGTCGACGTTTTTGTTATGTAAAATAAAAACTAATTTCTGCAACGCGACCAAACCTGAGACAAAACTGGACTGTAAAGTGTTGTTTGATGCCAAAACTCCGTCCAGTTTTCTAAAATCCAATACGGCGGACAGTTGAGAATAGAGACCTTTAGCATCAAGCAAACCACAAACCGCAAACGGCAGTTTTCAGTTACGCGTTTGCAGTTTCGCATTGCCGCGATTTCAAATTTTAGCAAGGCGTTCAGTTCAGTTCAATTCAGTTCATTTTTATTTAGCCAAAATGTAATACAATGCAAGAATACATATAGGAATTGTAGGGTTACAAGGGAGCCCAGAAGAAACCAGAAGGCTTATGAAGCCTGGGCTCCCCAGTCTCAAAGAAATAAGCAAAATAGAATGAAAATTCGCGGAGTGATACGTTAAAAATAGGAACTAAACAGAGACTGAGTTAAGTTATGAATTCAGTAACAAGATAGAAAACTCTGGATTGGAACAGAACACTTTCTTTTGTTAGTACGGCAAAAAGGAATATAAAATCGATTTGAACGACGCGTTCATTGTGTAGGGCCGTCATGTTGTTTTCATCAAGTCGAAATGCATCACTTTAATCGCCCAAAAATCAGCAATAATTCATTGATTCGAGATAAAAAATCCAACAACTACATCCCAAACGGATATAAAAAGCTAGTTCATACCTTTAAACGCGAGGCTGTACAATTTTTTGTGGCAAAAAAACCTTATCGTAAATCACTTACCGCTGGAAGCCCTTCCTGCGGTACAAACGTGAACTGCAAACTGCAAACGTGACCGCAAGGCTGTGGTCACGTGGCATTTTGCGGTTTGCGGTTTGCAGTTTCCCATGAAAAACCTGATGCTAAAGGTCTCTAATATCAGCAGAACAGCCTCAAATCCTGCACATGCGCAGGTCCTGACATAGCCCCTTTAACACAGCTAGCCTTTTTGAACTATTTTTGGTGTTGGTGTTCTTAACCATGCGTGAAAAATATAATCCATAGCAGAGGTTGGTAACCAGGACGCCATTGTTATTATCAGCCGACAATCCAGACCAACAGGGTAACGATCACGTGGTGCTTGTGACGTCAGAGCTTCCACGACGGCATTCACAACTCGATCAAGGCGATCAGATTGAGGAACCTCTTTAAAGCTGGTAAAAACTTGAAGAAAAAGGAAAACATCTCAATGACGTCATCGATAATGGCTCCTGGTGCCGACTTCGAAGAAATTCATTTACTACTTTTATTTGAGCCTTAGCGGATTGAGATCTCAGTCATATTCCGTGAAACCTTGCGATATTTAAGGCAAAGAGTGAATTAATACAGTAAGCGAATAAATGCAACCCATAAAACGGCCATAAATCGGCCCATGGACCACACAGGAGGGGCGTAACACACCTTTTATGTTAGGTAAGCTATTTTTCACTGAAATGGTTTCATGTTCGTAGGATACAGAAACGATAGGTTTTTTCCCCAAATAAATCCTTATATTTCGAATGTTACGCACTGAATGCCAATGCTCGCCGATGCTCATATTTCGAGCTTGGGCTACCTGTGGTGCCCAAGACGTAAGTTCGAGTGCTCGGACTTTGAAAGTCCAGTTATGGAATAAAGTAGGCGCTGACTGTCTTTGTTCAGAGCTGTAAGAGAGTTGAGTAATCCAAACTTTGGAAATGGTTGTGTCTTTGCAGGGAAATTAACTAGATCTATGATACTCACCCTCATATTATCTAGGCAAAAAAATGACAAGGCCAACCCCTTCTCTTAAGATCAAACGATATCAGCCTTCATAAAGTTGATTTTCCAGCCTAAGCCCCCGTACCTTTTGACCAGCCTCCCTTTAAAACTGAACTGTGTTCAAATTTTTGAGCGTACAGAAGCAAACATGTTTTATGGTATCATATAAAAGATGTAATGACATAACTTACTGGCAATGATATAAAGTACAACGTATCTCAGTTTTTTTATATACATTTTGAGTAATAGTCGCAGTCTCCCAAAACTCGTGCCTTGATCATTGAAGGAAGAGCGTTGGAACTGTACAGAACAGATCGTCTACTTATCAACCTGGTTTATGAAATGCAAAGTACAACGATATTATTATACCTCCATTCAAGTATTCCTCTCCGTATTCTTCCTTTACATGGTCATCAAGGGCTTCCCAGCGGTCTTTAAAGTTTTTTGCAAGGTTGGAGCGTATGTTGGTATGAAATGCACCCGGTTCCAAAATACTCACTTTCACGCCCCAGGGATACATTTCTCGCCTTAATACATCCGAAAACGCCTCCACGCCATACTTAGCTACACTGTAGTGTGAGTATAAGGAGAGAGAGATCCGACCTGTAAGTATCAAAAGTACGAAATGGTTAATGAGAACTTAGAGGGAGACTAACTGAGCTTATTCATAAGAGATTCCCCTCTCTGCTTGTGTGTTAGGTTACTGAGCCAAAATGACCGAGCTAGGCAATATCGGTTTAATTAGCAAAATTATTATCGACTCACTATCCCTTTTCTGATTGGCCGACAGTGTACAGTGAATTTTCGAAATCAGCACCTAGGACGTCATCTAGCTGCAGATTATACAATACTCGTGTCAAGGACACTCAAGGTCACAGGTAATCATGTCATGTATGACCGCGGTACATGATTTCCAAGGGTAATCATGTCAAGTTCACACGCTTTGTGTTGCTTGCTGTCAGTGAAGAATCAAAAACATGACCAGCCTGCGTAAGAGGCGCTTGGAAGTAGTGGGCGCGTGAAAAAAAGGGCGCGCGAGAGGGAGACAAGCGAGGGGAGAGACGTTTTCTGCTGCAGTAACGAGACATAACAACAGACCTCAGGTCGCCTCCGAATGAATAATACCGTAGCGAAAGGTTTTTCAAATTCATGCCCCTGGTAAGTGTTTCATTTCATCAATCCTGTCCAAGTTTTGATGGTATGCGTTCTATCGACAACACAATCCGCCAAATTCTCCTGAGTAAAGAATAATTCCTCTGATCTTCAATGCAATAATTCGACAAATCTTTTGTCTCTCGCCACTTCCACTAATGCGTATCTGACGTCAATTCTTTCCTTCGTGAATCAGTACCGTTTGAAGACTCCACATTTCTTTGAGATAAAAGCCACATGATCCCATTAAACCAGACTGAAGTGACCTCCCAGACCTAAACTTCCATTATACCATTTAGTGGTTTCAGGAGCTGGCGGGGGTAATATAAGACCTTCACTACGTTGTCCATGTACTACTGATTGAGAGTTTTCTCACCCAGCGCGGTTACTTTTTCCCTCGGGAGCCTCTCGACCAATTGGAAATATCCGCACTCTCAGAATGCGAGTTGAAACGATTTTCGTGGACCATCCGGGCAGGCGCTCCCTCACCCCTCTCCTGTCTCCCTCTCGCGCCCGTTCTTTCTTGCGCCCACTACTTCCAAGCACCTGCTACACAGGCTAAAACATGACTTCCAAGTTTGCTTCGTTGACCGAGCAAGACATTGAAAAAATAGTTGAAGACAAGGACCGCACAAAACACAAAAAGGTCGACGAAGGTGGCAAAGGAGCTGTTTGCTGATTACGTGAAAGAGAAAAAACTGAGAAAAGCTGAGGAAAAGAAAGAGTGGGCACAAACTTTGAAAACATTTCATGTCGAAGCGAGAAAGAAAGAATTCGTTCAATGTATAATAAAAGGGTTATCAGGTAACGGTTATCAGACTAAGCCTTCGACTTCGGCTGATAATCCCTACCTCGACCTTGATTATTCTGGATATTACAAAAACCTCATCCAGTAATTGTTTTTATAAAATAACTAAGATAGTACACGCGTTCTTATTGCTTAAAAACCTATTTTTTTGTGCCGGTAAACTCACAGAAAACTGAAACATGCTTTAAAGTTATTTTATAAAAGCAGTAGACCACACCGTTTCTACGGGTTTACCGGCGTGGTAACCTACTTCGGATTTTGGGAGAACACTTGAAAAGCTTGTAAATCACTCGCCTTCAGCTCGTGATTTACAAGTTTTTCTCGTGTTCTCCCAACATCCCGCGTATAGGACATCACGCCGTTAAACCCATAGAAAGTGTGGTCTATTTCTTTGAATAACGAAGTCACGAGCTCAAGAGTTACTGGCAGGATATGTAGTAACCGGAAGCGCGTTTATTGATTGGGATTGAGATGCAGGATTGTGGCAAATAAATTCAGACCTTCAAAGAACGAGACGCATAACAACCGGCTGTTCTGTTATGCTTTTGTGTTCCAGTGAGATGCAAATGTTAAGAGGTGTGTAAACAAGAGTTGATCTGCATGTACTGTCCATGCTGTGTCTCTCCTCTCCCTGCAGAGTTGGAGGATCGATGAGTGGGGTAGGGGGTGGGAGGAGGGAGAACCAATACTCCGAGCCGAGAACTTCACGTGATTAGGATGATCACATAGAAATTGGGGTATTTCATTCAAAGCATCGTGACGAAGGCTCTTTGAAGCGCTTCAGTTTCTAGACACGAAATTCGTGCCAAATATCTAGCCATAGACGCGGCATGAAGATTAGTCATCGCCAGGGCATAGCGTAAATCAGTCCTTACCACCAACACTTGAAACGTTTACAACTCTTCCCTGGACTTTCTTGATAAGAGGAAGAAATGTTTTGGTAACTTCAATCACTCCCCAAAGATTCACATCAGCTGTGCGTTTGAATATACTCATCGGCGCCCAATCGATCGGCATCGCATACGCAATTCCTGCATTGTTCACCAGGCCCCACAGTCCGCCTGAAAATAAGGAAATTTTGAACGGCTGAAAGTCTTTTCCAATCAAATGGCAAGGTTAGTCCGCTAACAAGGCGGGTTTGGTACTTTAAAAGGTCATTCTATCAGGATATCAGTTTTCATTCAAGGCTGTTTAAATTTTGTTATTAGAGTCATTATCTAACTGCAGAATTAATGGTAGGAGCTAACAATGTTCAGTGAATACTAGTGGTTGTTTACTTATTTGCTATAACATGCACCGTAAACTCCAGGGTAGGTTCTTAACTAGGAATTGTGGTAAATCTTGATCGCTGATCCCTCAAAATTTTTAATTCTGAATAAATAATACAAAAATATTACAAAATAGTGCTTTTCGATTTCTTCCTAACCAGTGAATCAGCTGATAAAAACAACAAGTCTTCGAGATATGCTCATTTCTATGGTGAAAAGTCAATTTAAGTTAGAACTCCTGGCGCCTATAGCACTAAATAATCTCTGCTTATAGATCAAGGACACAGCTGTGTCTATCTGCCCCAGGATGAACAATTAAAATGTTTAGCAGCGCAAAAATCAATTATTCAAACGTTTGCAGCATTTTTTTTCCAGTAGTGATTGTTCTCTCTAAATTTTGGAAGCCTGAGCGCAACCAGTCCCCTCCCCTCCCTTTTTGCACTAATATATTTGCTTGCTTTACTACATCGTGGAGACTTCGTTCACGACGATATAAACTAACCCGTCGCCCGGAATGACTGTGCATTTTAAAACCGCCAAGAGTTTTTCTGCATAAAAACAAAAAGGAAAGAAAGAAAGAAAGAAAGCACGGAAGTTCTCTTATATTATATTTTTATGTGCGTGTGTGTGGTTACGTAAACGTCTAGCCTCGCGCGCCTCATCTGCGTGCCGCGTACGCGTCATCCCCCAGATGAAAAGCATTCTCTGCGCAGGCTAGTGACTGTCAGTTGTGTTATAATATTGTAATTTTTACGCCCTGTGTTGTGTACCTTAGAGGCACCTGATAGAGATTTTAAAAAATGTCTGTTCAGTTATCGCTTGAACGTGTGGTTCGCTGTGTTATTACAAGTTGCACGTGCTCTGCTATCTCAAAAAATAACAAAAGGAAAAGAGAGAGAGAGACTGCTCGCGGTCTATAGTTAGTTATAATCTTTGAAAACATTGAATTGAGGGTCTGTGTTTTCGCGACATCCAAGAGTCTGCATTTTCGGGGGTTTGAGTTTTTAGAGGTCTGAAGTCTGAGTCTTCGTGACACCCAATGACAAGGAACAAATTATTATGTGCAACATGCTATGGCATATGATTCCTGGGATACATTTTTCAGGAAAGCTTACGAAATGAGACTTTCATTAAAGTTTTTATGTTAAGGTTACTTGAAAAAATTAGTTTTCAAACAATCTGTACAGTGATCATATGTAATTGCAGTCGTGTATAAAGTAGTTGTTGTGTGAACTGACTGACACTGCGTTCCTCGCTCACCTGTCTCGCTTTCCACTAGGTACTTGACTTTATCATAAACGTCTTTGATTTGCTCTGAGTTTGTCACATCCAACTGAAATGTTTTCAGTTTATCACTCGTCACTGATTTTAAACTTTGTTCTCCTTCTTTTGTCAAGCAGGTCGCCAACACACAAACTCCCATCTTGTCAAGAGCAATGGCTGTAAGTCGACCGAACCCAGAGTCGCAACCGGTAATCAAAACATATTTTCCCTTGACGTTAAGTTTAGCTCTTGGCTTAAAATAATAAAACAGCGAGAGAGTGAAAATGCCAATTACAGGCAAAACAAGCCAACTAAATTTCGAGCTCTCTGCGGCATCCATGCTTTTGATTCGACCGACCGTTACGGTATAAAGTCTAGTAATAATTTGATATAAGATAAACTAAAGGTCAGTCGTGCAGAAAATCGTATCAATATCATATCAAAGGAGCATTGTGGAGGGCATAGTCTGTTCCAAGCGTTCAGATAGTGGAGAGCGGTGTGAAGTAAAGAAAGCGATGAAAAGTAGAGGGGGATTGGGGAAAGAGGTGCGGGAACGAGTTCCCTCTCTCACCTCTCCCACTCCCTCGCTTTTATTTTTTCGCGCTTTTTTTTACTTCGCACCGCTCCCCACTATCTGAACGCCTGGAACAGGCTATGGAGGGCAGTGCACGAATGCCCGGCGTATCCAATTCCGGTAATCGAACTCCAATCGTTCGAGTTTGGTAATCGACTCCGGGGGGGGGGGGTACTACCTTATATGAGCTATATAGCTATGTGCAACCCCATCGGGTATGGTTTTGCGCCGTTTTGGTCTGAAAACGGGTATAGATTTTGCCCATTTTGGTCTTGAATCGGGTGTGGTTTTCACTACGACAGTGTGTGGACGTATTCATAGTTTTAATGTTAAATCAGTGAGAAAGAAAGAAAAATATGAGAAGCCTAAATGACCTAAATGGATTTGAAGAATTTTTTTGTTTGCACTGTTATCTTAGAATTTGTGAAGGAGTTTAACGTCAACAATACCGATTCATGAAGTTATGAATATATGAAAATATATTCATAAGAGTTCGAATCCCGTACAAGCCTGGACGTTTTTCAGGCTTTCTTTTCGCAACTGCAGAAGTTGTCTATATAATTAACTGCGACGATCTTCCTTCATATAACCCCAATACCGATTCATGCCTTCCACAAACTTGAATAGTTCTAGCCTTTCCCAAAGTTTCCCCGGGATTTTCCGGCTTTGACGAGTATACGCAAGACGTTCCTCGCTCGATTGCATGATCAGGAGCCCATTGGTTATGGTTCTCCTTGCATGATATGATTGGAGGTTCCTATATCTGTGTTAGTAGAGCTTGATTCTCCGTTATTTGTCAAATCAAAAGGACGATAATGAGGCTCGGAAAATATAATTGGTATTGTGTGAATAAGGGCGAATGTTTTTTCTTTCTTTTCAAAGCGTATCATTGCATGATAGTTTCATTTATTGAGTTTTGTGGATTTATAAGCTTTCTCTGAAAGGTGCTTCTCGTTCTCTTGTCATTTTATTGTTTTTCTTAGAGCATCTTGTTGTTGTTGTTTGTTGTTGTACCATTGTTTTCCTTATTTAAAAAAAAAGGGCTTAGCAGCTTTTCATTATTTCTGTTAGTCCTTTTTCAGGTGTTTTATTGAAATACCAACGGTGACAAAGAAATTGTTAGGGATACGCCATAATCAATAACTAAAGCTCAAAGTCATGACGCCTTGTACAAAAAAATGGCTACAGGTTTCAATTTGGCCAGGACCCCATAACCGGTCCTGAGCGAGCAACTCCCATGTGTTATAAACTCCTCCGAACCACTCTGATTTCTACACCCTTTCCCAGACTAAACTACTGGAAAACAATACCGTTCACAGAGTGCCGTATATACCTCAGCTTACAGCCCCCTTGCAAGGACCCCGCCCCTTTTGAGTCGCCCCATTTCCTCCTCAATTTTGGAGTTTCAACATGGCGCTTTCGCGAGCAAAAACATTCACGCGCGAGAAGAAAACGGCTGTACTGCAGGCTATGAAAGGGAGAAAATATCAACTTCCGGTTGCCATTTTAGACGTCCGGGAAGTCAACGTTCTCGTTTTTAAGGTCCCTAATAAGGACTTACGAAACTATGACGGCGACGGCAAGGAGAACGTCAAAAAAGCAATAGTTTTAATGAGCAAAACAACAACTCTGCACTTGAATCACGCTTTTTTGTTTATTTCTTTGCTGTCCCTGCACAACTACGACGTGAAATGGCCAAATTTTAATTTTACCTGAGAACGGTAACGGCAAGGGGATAAATTCTACCATCTCTGTCTGAACTCGGGCGCGGTCCCCTCTCTTCAGCTCCAACCAAAATTCCCTTCTTTTAAGTAACAGGGCAAATTGAGATGATCGCGCAAAAGTTTAAAAGGATGCAAAGTCTATTTTTCAGCGACGTTTTCATGGACGTCGCCGTTGTCGGAACGTAAGATCCCTAATATCGTTGATTCGCCACGGCTAGCTCTTTCGACCTATTCTTGGTAATGGAACTTTTAACCAGCTGAGAAAAATAAAATCTATAGCAAAGGTTGGTAACCAGGACACCATTGCCATTAGCATTCGAGCATCTAAACCAACAGGGTAACGATCACGTGGTGCGTGTGACGTCAGAGCAGTCACCACGGTATTCGCAACTTCATCCAGGCGATCAGATGTAGGAAACTCTGTAAGGCGCTTAATCACTTGGGGAGAAAAAAAAGCATTGTTGGCATCTCATTACAAAGAAATTTTGTGCATCAAGTGTCATTTTAGAAGCGGTCATTAGATACCGGCCCGTAACTATAAAGGTCAGTTTCGCTATAAGGGTTACCTGATGAAAAAATTGAAAAACTGTCTACTTCGTAAGGACGAAAAGAAAGAAAACTATAGCATTATTTTCGAATAAGACTAGCTTTTTGGAAAAAATTCCATTCTTTGTAGGCAGTGTGCCTAAACAGACGGAAGACTTGGTCCATCAGACCAAGTTTGAAAAAAATGCGGTCTACAGTTTTTCTGCCTACCAGAATGCACACCGCTCCTTTTCAGTTTTGCTCATGTTACGCCCCTTCTGTTCACCTTTTCTGTTCCTCGTTAGTGTTCTTTCACAGTTCATTGATCATTTGATAATCAACTATATTTTAATGTCTAAAAAAGCGTCTATTAGCTCCGTCCTATGTGCACCTCTCTTACAGCAGATTTTCACTAAGCTAATCAAGCTTCAGTTCACCTGTCTTTGTTAGGAAAAGCACAAATTAAGAATGAAAATATACCTTCTTTTAAGTATTCCTCTCCGTACTCTTCTTTAAGCTGATCATCTAGGTTTTCCCAGGCCTCTTTCAAATTTTTTTCAATAATGGATGGCTGATTTATGTTGGTTCGAAATGCACCTGGTTCCAAGATACTCACTTTCACTCCCCAGGGATACATTTCTCGTCTTAATGCATCTGAAAACGCCTCCACGCCATACTTAGTCACAGCATAGTGGGAGAATAAGGACGTAGAAAAACGACCTGCATGTATCAAAAGTACAAACACTATATACAGACAGCCCTTCTGATCTGCGGAAAAGTCCTAATTGAAGGAGAAACGAGTCACTTTGGCCTTGTGAAGTTCATTGTACCTACGCACCTGGAGGAGTCAGTTGGTGATTGGCTGCAATGTAAACTACTGAATACTAAAAGATCTGGCCCCAGTTGTTCAAACGTTGGATAGCGCTATCCACTGGATAAATCACTATCCAGCGGATAAGTATTACGAAAATCAATTACGCTATCCGCTGGATAGTGATTTATCCGGTGGATAGCGCTATCTGACGTTTGAACAACCGGGGCCTGAACGTGCGATGTGGTTGAGGAGGAGGGGAGGGAAGATAAGATGAAGATAACTTTTTTGACGTGTCTGAGCTGCCGGACAAATGTCGACATATCCACTCACAGTATTCGTTTATTCATCATATAATATGAGTCATCTACGTGTTTGAGAAGGCGGGCATGCTCTGTTCACCTTCGCGTCAAAGCGCCTTATTAATGATGATAGCTGACCAACCTCGTTACCCGGTTTCTCTCCTGCTCGTCCAAATTCAAAAAGGATGAAATACATTATTTACATTAGGCAGTCGAGAGTTGTAAAGGGCGCCCGTGGCCGCTTCTAAAGATATCCACTCAATAAAGAAGAAATGTGCAGCAAACTGGGAAGCAAATCCCGGGAATTGGATACGTGACCGAAGCTGAAGGGCCCATTGTTAGTCATTCTATTAGGGGATTACCAATAATGCGTGAATTGGCGTTGTGGAAACTATTGTTGTTTAGCTAGTGTCTTGTGGTATGTGCACTTATATTTGTGTTCAAAGATCCTATTTGAAGAAAACATGTCATGTATCACGATTTCAAGATGATTTCAGGATTGTGGAGCCATGAACATACCATAGTGTGTTTCCCTTAGTTAGCTTACCGCCAATGCTTGCGAAGTTCACAACTCGTCCCCTGGCCATCTTGACAAGTGGAAGAAATGTTTTGGTCATTTCAATCAGTCCCCATAGATTCACATCTGCTGTGCGTTTAAATATTCTCATCGGCGCCCAATCGATCGGCAGTATGTATCCAATTCCTGCATTATTCACCAGTCCCCACAGTCCACCTGCTCAAGAAGAAATTTTGAACGACTGTATAAAAAGTGGTCGGGTTATAAGGCGGGCAGTCTTTTTTTTGTTGTTTATCACAATAATAGTCGGCTGGTTAAATGGTCCCGATCTTAGACCCATCATTTCACAATACCATACCAGGGTGGGATTTTGGAAAGGGTTGATAACAATGCTTAATAATCCAAGATGTCAAGGAGCCGTGACCTACAACGTGACACCAAAGAGAGCTGATCCGATCACATTATTCTTTAGGAATGTTTTAGGAAAATAGAAACTGACATAAAGCAGTTTTTGCAAAGCAGGAAAACAAGATAGGGCACTGACGTGGCTAATCCTTATAGCGAGCGAATGTTATCATGACAATCATTGATCGTATTCAGCAAAAGTGTCGACTCACTTTGTTTAGATACTACGTTACTTACGCACCTCCATCACGTTTGATCAACTCAGTGACCTTATAATAAACTTCTTTGGTCTGCTCTGAGTTTGTCACATCCAACTGAAATGTTTTGAGTTTATCGCTCGTCACTGACTTTAAACTCTGTTCACCTCCTTTTGTCAAACAAGTCGCCAACACGCAAACTCCCATCTTGTCAAGTGATATGGCTGTAGCACGACCGAATCCAGAGTCGCAACCCGTAATGAGAACATACTTTCCTTTGATGTCAAGTTTTGCTTTTGATTTTAAAAAACAAAATATCAAAAGAGTGAAAATGCCAATCAAAGGCAGTAAAGTCCACCTTAATGGCGAGGTTTCAGCGGCATCCATAATGTTGACGTTACCTTTGAAATGTAGCGACACGGCCTGAGACTCAACTTACTCTCACTCGGGGTGGGAGATGGTCTCTTGCTCCCGTTGTTTTCTTTCTCAAGGGCATTGATGTCAACTCGAGCAAGAGACTCTCTCCCACCCCGAGTGTGAGTAATTTGAGTCTCAGGCCGTGTCGCTATGTTTCAACGGTAACGCGGAGTTCAAACCAAGGTACTGTCGATGGCTTTAGACGGGAAAAGTTGCAGAAATTGTAGCCTGGGACCATGCTCCGCAGAGGGGGAAAAAGGCAAAAACGGGGTCAAATAGGAAAAATGTCCGCGAGCGAAGTTAGCCGAGAGTGGATTGGGGAGGGGGAAAGGGCGCCACCCTTTCCCCTCCCAAGACTACCTCTCGGCTCGCTTCGCTCGTCGATTTTGTTCTCCTCTTTCCCCCAATGCGGAGCTTGGTCCCAGACTACAGAACTGATTGGCGAGCTATGATTTCCTCTCGGTGCAAATGCGTCTTGCAGCAAGATCACGAATGGAAAGCAGAACTATCGTGTGTTACCTAGGCGGAGTTTGGAGGCGATCGGAGGCGTTGGGGTGAATTTACGGCCGTTTTCCTCCGGTGGATCCATCGGGTCTCTTCGCTGGAGTCCCCAACCTTGGTAAACTTTATATAGAGCAGGAGCCCATAACCCGGAGCGAGCAACTCCCATACTTGGCCTATGTCACGGCGTTTTTACCAGTTTATTTTTAGACACATTTTAGGGCACCTTTTCCCGCGAAAATAGAATCTCCACCATGTCTATTAGCGCGTTCGAAGTATAAGATATAAAAAGGAAAACTAAACGTTATTTAAGGCAAAAAATATCATTTTTAGGTCCGTAGGTCTTGCTGACTGGTTTGTGGAATTTAAAAGATATTCCAAATTTGTTCCAAAACCGTTCTAAAAATAGGCTGGTCCGTGAAAACGCCGTGACAGTTGCACGCTCCGGGTTATGGGCTCCTGTATAGAGAGAGCAAGCCGTTTACAGCATAAATTTTCCCATGGACCACACGGGAGAAACGTAAAACACATTTTATGCAAGGTAAGCTGTTTTTTATTGAAATCCTTTCATTTTCGTAGGTTACAGAAATAATAGGTTTTTTCCCCATACAAATCGTTATATTTCGAATGTTACGCAACAATGCCGATGCTCCATCGCCGATGTTCATATTTCCAGCTTGGGCTACCTGTGGCACGAGGCGATCACATGCTTTTTATCATTTCCTTCAAACCTCGAAACTGTCAGAGGGTGTCGAGGGTGTTTACATGAGAAAACTCGCACCGGCGCGAGTTTCATACCGCCCGGGATGACTTTTTGATTTTGTATCGCGTTTATATGATGACTGGGTCATTTCATAACTCGCTACTTGAAGGTACACTTCATCTTGGTAAAATACACTTGTGATTCAAAATTGCAAACGTTACGCACGTACTACCCGTTCCAGTCTACCGGCAGACCGAGTTCACACTGAAACGCGTGGTCGTTTCACGTTTACATGATACTGTTGTGAGATTTCGTACCGGAGTGAATTTCTCGCCCCAGTACAACAACCGAAGTGCGCTCACGCCGGGGTGACTCGCGCCGGTATGACATTTCGTGGTGGTATCAAATGTAGAGCCATGAGAGGAACCGGAGTGAACTCGCTCCGGCGCTCAAGTCGCCCTGTTGTCATTTAAACACCCCCTCAGCTTGTCGATTGACTTCATTTCACTCTAAATCAGTTTAAAATATTAAAACATCTGCGCCGGCTTTTAAGAGGCCATGTCACGAAACTGCGCATGCGCGTCAGCAACGACTCAACTTGAAAAGGTTGGCCCAACTTTTTCAAGTTTCGCGGGACGAACTCTGTAGCGATTTCATCGTCGTGAATCTTAGCCATCCGAGAGTATTTTTCGCTGTCAACGTTTTTGCCATGTAAAATTAAAAACAAATTCCGCTACACTAACAAAAAATCAGACAAAATTGGACTGTGCGTTGCTTGATTCCAAAAATCTGTCAGGTTTTCCAAAATCCAATATGGCGGACAGTTGAGAATAACAACAGAACAGCCTCAAATCCTGCACATGCGCAGGTCGTGACACCCCTTTAACACAGCTAGCCTTTTTGACCTATTTTTGGTGTTGGTATTCTTAACCAGGTGTGAACAATATAATCCATAGCAGAGGTTGGTAACCAGGACCCCATTGTTATTATCAGCCGGCAATCCAGACCAACAGGGTAACGATCACGTGGTGCTTGTGACGTCAGAGCTTCCACGACAGCATTCACAACTTGATCCAGGCGTTCAGATCGAGGAACCTCTTTAAAGCTGTTAAAAACTTAAAGAAAAAAAGAACATGATAGGGACTAGTTATTTATTACGGAGGGGGGGAGGAGGGAAGGGGGAGTTGCGGTTTATTATTTTTATGCCAAGGTTCCCTAGTTCTATGTTACTCACCCTCATATTATTTAGGCAAAAAAATGACATGGCCCACCTCTCCCCTATAAAGGCAAGGTCACACGATACCTGCCTTCGAAAAATTGATTTTCCAGCCTAAATCTGTTTATCTTATTACCAGCCCTCCTAGAAAACAGTGTTAAAATTTTTCTCTGTACAGAAGCAAACATTTTTTTATGATATCATGTGAAAGATGTGATGACATAACTTATTGGCAATGATATGAAGAACAATGTATCTCAGTTATTTTTATATATAGTTTGAGTAATAGACGGAGTCTGTTAAAAAAGTGCCTTTATCATTGAAGAGAGAGCGTTGGAACTGTACAGAACAGATCGTCTACTTATCAACCTGGTTTATGAAAAAGGATTGCAAAGTACAATGACACTATTATACCTCCATTCAAGTATTCCTCTCCGTATTCTTCCTTTATATGGTCATCAAGGGCTTCCCAGCGGTCTTTAAAGTTTTTTCCAAGGTTGGAGCGTATGTTGGTATGAAATGCACCTGGTTCCAAAATACTTACTTTCACGCCCCAGGGATACATTTCTCGCCTTAATGCGTCCGAAAAGGCCTCCACGCCATACTTAGCTACACTGTAGTGTGAGTATAAGGAGAAAGAGAGACGACCTGTATGTATCAAAAGTATCGGAAATGATTATTGAGAACTTAGAGGGAGACTAACTGAGCTTACTCATAAGAGATTCCGTTCTCTGCTTCCAGCTGTGCTTCTGTGTTAGTTTACTGAGCCAAAATAAGTGAGCTAAGCAATATCGGTTTAATTAGCAAAATAATCAAGTCACGAGCTCAAGAGTTACTGGCAGGATATGAAGTAACCGCGCTTATTGATTGGGCGGAAACTATGGACCAATCTCCAGTTTAAAGTCATTAAATGACAATGAAAATATTAGCGATAGTTAAAAGGAGTGAGATGCAGGATTGCGGAAAATTTATTCAGAGTTAAAAAGAACGAGCTGTGTTCCGTTATGCGTTTGCGTTTCAGTGAGATGCAAATGTTGTGAGGTGTACGAAAAAATGGTTGCTCTAATCCATGTTTTTTCGACGCCGTGTCTCCTCACTGGAGAGTTGGAGGAATGATGAGTGGGGTAGGGGGCGGGAGGAGGGAGAAGCAATCCTCCGAGCAGAGAACTTCACGTGACTAGGATAATCCTATGGAAATGAGGGTACTTCATTAACAGTATCGTGACAAAGGCGCTTTCTCGACACGAAATTGGTGCCAAATACCTAGCCATAAACGCGGCATGAAGATTAGTCAGCGGCTATTGCGTAAATTCCTTACCACAAACACTTGAAAAGTTTACAACTCGTCCCTGGACTTTCTTGATAAGAGGAAGAAATGTTTTGGTCACTTCAATCACTCCCCACAGATTAACATCAGCTGTGCGTTTGAATATACTCATCGACGCCCAATCGATCGGCATCGCATACGCGATTCCTGCATTGTTCACCAGGCCCCACAGTCCGCCTATAAATAAGGAAATTTGAACAGCTAAAAGTCGTTTCTAAATGGCAAGGTTAGTCCATTAACAAGGCGGTTTGGTACTTTAAAAAATCATTCTATCAGGAAATCAGTTTTCATTCAAGGCTGTTTAAATTTTTATCAGAGTTATTATCTAGCTGCAAAATGGAAGGAGCTGACATTGTTAAGTGGATACAAGTGGTTGTTTAATTATATTGTTTTCTTATGTGCACCGAAAACCGGCTCCAGGGTAGGTTCTTAACTAAGAATAGTGGCAAATCTTGATCGCTGATCCCTCAAAAATTTTGAAATTAATCCTTATTCTCAAAATAAAACCAAATTTGAGTTAGCTTATGGACCGTATGAATGACTGCTTGATGACAAATACATAAAATACAAAGTAGTGTTTTTCGATTTCTTCCTAACCGGTGAATCATTTGATGACGACCGCAAGTCTTCGAGATATGCTCATTTCTATGCTGAAAAGTCAAGTTAGGTCAGAGAACGGTTAATCGCCATTTCCTGGTTTTGCAAATATTTGGTTGCTTTAAGACATCGACGAAACTTTAGCGCTCTTAACATAATATATTCGTTCACGACGATATAAACTAAACCGCGTTAAGCATCTTGGAAAGTGAAATTCGGCAAAAAATACATGTCATGAAGGCATAAAATGAACAAAATAGATAGATAGATAGATAGATAGATAGATAGATAGATAGATAGATAGATAGATAGATAGATAGATAATGTTTATTTATCCACGGTGCAAAATTCGTCAGCTTTAAAGGAGTTTAGATTGTCAAGTGCCATCTAACTAAAGTTGATTTTTTTCCATTTTAAGAACGCATGCCTCAACAAATCAAAATAGTTTCTGTGCATGCCAGGGATCAACATCAGTAGCTCTTTCGTTTTCTACCCACCCTACCAATGAGTACACCTACGGGTGTCACGAAAACTCAGACATCAGACCCCGAAAAACTCAGACCTTCAATTTAATGCTTTCAGATATCGATATTTTGTCAAACGTTTCAGTTGATTACCTTTAACTTTTAACTAACTATATATCAGAGCGCGCGCGACTGACTTACTATGCGAGCGACGCCTGGCGAGAGAAAAGAGGGTGCAGGGGTGGGGGGTGGGGGGGGGGGGGGGGGGGGGGGAGCGGTGGCAGTAAGGGAGGTTGCGTGATACTTTCGCCATGTCACGATATGGTTTATACCAT